AAAAGTTTTTTCAGAATGAGGCGTAAAATAAATTCAAGGAAAATTACTCTAAGTTATCAAGGGTGACTCAAAATGGTATCGCATCACCAGAAGTGAGAAGAAAAAGGCTTAGCCACTTCGCTGTTTTTTCGTGGAAATCTTTGAGGAAGTTTTGAAAGATGCCGTACCTCTATGTAATTTTAAAAATTTGTTTATGACTTTTTTGAATTTTTTCTCCATTTGAAATAACGACAGAAAATCAAAATAAACACTGGAAACATTGAGTTGATTGTATAATTCAGTTGTTGCACAGTGTATGTAATAGCAATAGTGAATTTAGTTCCATAGTTTAGTGAAAACGTGAGTTCATGTGTTCGCTTTATACTCGTACAAAATTGATTTTTGTGATAGCTTAAGTTTTAAAATACTGTAATGGAATTTTTTCACTTGTATTCTGAAAGAATAAAGCTTATATCAAGTCCTCAATTAGAATCATCGATGCACCCGCAGTTTCTCATTGTCGAAAGAAAATCTTAAAAATGAACTAAATATTTCAGCGACTTTTGACTTTAGTTTTGAAAATGAAACAATTATCAGATTACACTGAACCATTACAGAAAACAATGTATCTTACTAAACGACCTGGGCAAACTGTCTCTACAGCCTAGAGCAATGTTACAGATTATGAAAGTAAATATTTCAAATAACACGCTGATACATCTAATTCAATATTTCATAATTGAAAAAAACTGAGTTTTGAGTAGGATTCTTGTTGAAAGTGCAACTTCAAAATGTTCTAGTTAGATTGCAGAGTACAACCACTATTTTACCATAATACAAATTTTCAACTAGCACATTCAACTTTGCTCTACAACGATATATTTGAAACTAATGAGTACTCCCTCTATAATAATAAACGTTCAGCAAAGTATTGTCATTCTTTTAATATTTTTTTCTCTACATGATTTTGTTCACCAAACATTATCTCTTGATTCAGCTAGCGTCATGTCCAATGTATTGTGTCATCAATATACGAAATAATGGCATACCATCATTCTTGTAACCTTAATGCATGTCATAATAAGTCACTATCACCTATTATATGAGAATAATAACCAACAAGGTAAGAAGATGTGCCCACAATAGTTTATCGCCCTTTTTCAGAAACATTTAGATAAATCACAAAATAATAGATTAACACTGGAGTCATACTACACAAATAATCACGATTATTAATCGTTAAAATAAAAGATAATCACGATTAAGACTATGTAACTGTAATTTTTTTAAATCACCATTAACTATATTTTATCGTGATTATTAAAAAAGATGTGTGTAACCACACTAATCATGATTAAAAAGATAATCGTGATTTAATAGTACCAATCATTAGCATTTATATACGAACGTCGCCATAATGATCTTTTTTCGATAGAGGCGGTTAAAGTTAATTATCTTGTTGAACATGATTATCTTTAATGATGTTTTATCAAAATAATTATGATTACAGTAGCGGTTACATTACTAGTTTAATCACGATTAAAAATACTAATCGTAATTATTTGCATAGTGTAACCCCAATATAAATTTATCTCGACTTTGATAAGACAATATTAGTCTTTTCTATCAACTCATATAATATAAATTTAATGTAAGGCAACTTCGGGCTATTTGTTCAAGAGTGGCAATAATTTTTATCGTCTGGCATATTTATTAAACATATTGAGAAATACAATCTTAGAAATTCGTATTTCTAAACTTAATGCTGATGATTTAATGATTAAATTTATATCAACAATTAAATGGATCATTGGTGTGAATGCTTCATGCAATTTCCTGATACTGTACTAGAGAAATCTATATACATTTTTACAGGTATAGTTTGCTACAAGGATAATGATGCGATTGATATATATATATATATATACGTATATCTTTGCTTTGTTATATTAGCCACATATAGGAGAGAATGAAAAAGAAACGTACGGCGACCAGACTTTCATCGACGTAATTTTCTTCATTATTGAGGTTCAGAACGAACAAAAATAAATATGGTTGTAAATTATAGTATGTTCTATCAACGACATCTTTTTCCTTGTCTAAAAACGATGATTTATAGTTAATTTTAAACTAAATACGTGTTCCTAAAGTTTTGTTAACTACAGAATTAACTATATCAAGTTAAAATGACATACAATCAGAGTAGTATGATAAATTAAAAGTGATAGTAATACTCGAGTTGTGAGATATGTATCTACTCGCATTCATTTATGGTAAAAAAAGTAAAATAAAATATATACACACATACAGTGTATCGTTCTTGGCGATGTTCTATTTTGGATGCATACGTAAGATGCGGATTATTACTTTTCATCTAAACAGTTAAGTTGACAAAAAAGTTATGAGAAATTTTAGTCAGAGAGAACACACACTTCTTGCTGCACAAAATAAAGACAAACGTTTTTGACATATATTATACCGTATAATATTGTGTATTTTTCTTCATTTACCCGATTACTTTTCTGCAGTTCGACTATGCCACAGGTGCTAATAAATTGAATTGTACTAGGCTCAGTAAATATAATGAGAAATATTCTTCATGTTTCAAGAACTTTAAGTAAAAACTAAGTTTTTTTCCACTCCACTTTTCTGACAATTTTATTGAAATTCATTCATGATGTTGTGGAATAGTTTTTCTTAGTTTAAAAATTATGTATTTTTTTGTTATTTTTTTTTTTTCTGGTGAATTCCCTGGATAAAGACATTATAAAAAGAGTGCAACTTAATTGTTGAGAGATGTCGTTACCGGTAGAGCAAAATTTATTAAATGGAGGTTATGATAACATTGGATGAACATAATTTTTCCGTTATACTAAAGTTTACGTGTACGAGAAATAATAAGTGTAAGATAATAGTTGTTTACATTATAAAGTTAAATTATTTTCTCAAACGTTAAAAACATTCTTTCCGTGTTATGTCAGAGTTAACGGACGTGTTTTAGTGCGATTTTTTAGTCGTATAATTGCATTTATAGTGCCCAGTATATTTCATTTATTACATCAACGAAACGTTCTTTTACGTATGAGTCTATCATAAGCAGCATTCTCAATGTTGAGTAATTAATTCGTAGCACTTGGTACTGTTAAGACGTTGTCTCTAGCTCATCTACAAACACGTATTTTTTTCAAATACTGTTTTTGAATCCATCAACTATTAAGAGCATTTGAATGTGTTTGTTTTCTTATTATTAATCTAACTGCATCACGAGTTTGTGTTAATTTTCTTTTGTTTTTACTATGCCCTTTCAATTTTTCATACCTTGGTCTAACGTCATAAGTAACCAAATAGTGAGTAGACTATAAAAAATGAGCTTCATAGAGTTTCTTTCATGGAAGATCATTGATTTTTTTGAAAATTGTTTAGTTTTTGTAGTAAAGTTAAGATATTAGCATATTGACATTGTGTACAAAATACTTGCTACACTATACTAAGAAAGAACGGAAAGAGAATAACAGAAGTTATATGTTTACCCTGTACTACTTTTCAAACCATAACAAAGGTAGCTGAAAATTTTGATTTTGTTCAGCCCGTTGCTGGATATACTTTGACATGTGATTAAAAAGAATTTTTCATTATGTTCGTACTAGGCTGGTTGCCTATGGATAAGGAGCAATTTTTCCAGCCCAGACTTTGACCTTGTATTAGTCACCGTTCCACTTCAACAAAACATATTCACCTGGAATAAGTCATATAAAAGAGGAAAACATTTTTATTAGAAAAGGACTTGTTTATTTTCTCTTCTTCCAATATCAACAGTTATGTAGTATCCGTTCTACAGATACATGAAAGCAGTGTGTTTCTGTTCCAATCTTCTACTATATATAGGTAGGAATGGATCTTCCCAAGGAATAACAGAATATTTGATTAATCTTCATCTAGTCAGAAAAATACGGTTTGTTTATTTGTATATATTGTCTTTGTAAGCTTTTTCATCTTAACTATTTTGTGTTCCTTGCTTTATTGATTGGTCCACTTATGGGGACTGTTTTTATTATTAACTATCACGCATAAGATTTTGTTTATTTGCATAAAAATCGAATATAAAGGAGAATTTTGAATAACTTTTTAAAAAGACATTGTATTACATAGTAATTAGGTCGCTCTCATGGGTTACGTAGTTTCTGCTGATACTTTTTGAAAAATAATCGATTGTTTACGTAGCAAGAAAAATAACTTTTAGAGATACTTGTTGTTATTCAAGTCGAACTGATCGTGTTAAGAAAAGAAAAGTTACTCATGCATCAGTCAGCTTTAGATTATACATAATTTGAATGTTCAGGGACGATATCGAGCAAGAAAAATGCTTATTCTCTCTGATAGCAGTATAAAAAAATGATGTAATAGATGTAAACCATCTGTTCTTAACTACTGAGATATAAGTAACACTTTGAAAAACTATTTACTCTTCTGGTGCTCTCTGTTTTTACTGTTGCAAAAGATTTCTCTTCAGAAGATGAGCGCTTTTAATTCATCCAATCTGTTCTAGGTGTAGTAAAATGTGTCATATTATTTTTTGTATAGCGTAATGATCAAGTTTATTGCTGATAGTTTATGACGCAGAGACTACATGGTATCTTACATTAATAATAGTAGTCACATATTTCATTGAATTTTCATACTGTATTCATCACACTTTTAAAACTATTTAGTCCTGAGTTACTAAGCGCGCATTATAAAGCCTATGATCAAGTTTTCTGGAATTTGTCGTATTTGGACAAATCTTTTAAAAATGAGGGACAAATCTTTTAAAAATGAGGTGTTTGGTCAATGTGATTTCAAGCGAGGAATAAGCTAATAATATTCCATGATATTATATCAGTTTTATTATTTTTGTTCATAGATTGTTGTTGTAATGGACGGAACTTCAAATCAAGATAAAACTAAGCTGTAAGTTGTTATTATTATTTTGTCTACCTATATATTTTCCGTTCATTTCATTTAGTATACAATTATTATGAATTATGTTTTTAAACAACATCATAACACGCTCTGTATCTTCATCAACAACAAGTTTGGAATCGAATAGTGAACAAACTGTTGACAAACCATCATTGATCAATCGTTGTCTATCATTCAATGAATTATCATCATCAACAACAACAACAACAACTGTAAAAAAGAGAGGTAGAAAACGGCGAACGAGTAACAGTGAAAACACAACAATAGATCAACAGCCACAGCAGGTAAATTAGTAATACTCATATTGCCGATTACTGGTTGCTGGATCAAATTTTAACATCATCTAAAAAAATTGGAAGTAGTAGGGAATTATTATGTCACAACAAGTGTGCTGTGGAAAAGTAAAACTTCGTTTTTGCAACTTCCATTGTTTCCATTGATTACCAATAGATCGTCATGCATTTTGAGACAACTAATTATATCCGAATTCGGCTCTTCGAAACTTCCACATTAATAAAAGCCTTTGTATTAGTCATTAGTAGCGGACGTTATTTTAGTCATGCGTATAGTATCAGTTATTGAAGAATATCCCAGTGAATAGTCAAAAGAGATGTTTATTATTGTCTTTCTTGATCTTTGTCCCTCGGCGTACCAATAGCTCACACAAATTCTATCATTGAAACATCCTTAAGTACCACTACCGTATCTAGAAATTCCCTAACTTGGTATACGTGTGTGTATTGTCTCCTGCCTTCGTTTGCGCAGCAGACAGTTTTCGAAATGACCCTCAAAACAGCAGTTATTTTTGGAATAAAGAAATGCAAAATGTGTTGTAATCTGAAGATGTGATGCGATTTATTGTAAACTATGCTTGTCTCTCACGAGGGAAGGTTCCCAACTGATTCACGCCGTTCTGGTTAGTATTTTGCCCACATGTAGGGGATATCATTCTAAGAAAAAGCCTAACAGGATTTATGCTGGTGCGGCTCCTTTCAACAGTCAATAGTGAATTTTTTTCATTTCCCATAGAGTGAGCGACTGTGTTACTAAAATTTGTGTAACTCAGACACTAAAGGATTTCAAGGGCTAATTTTTTTTCTCATTATTATGAAAAGAGAGAAACAATGTGATAGAGAATAATATTCTAAAAAGCTTCCTAAGGTCCTCTAAGATATTAAAAAAATGGATTTTTTATAAAAGCACCCTCCACTTGCTGAAGTCATAGTGCAAAAATTCAATTACTTATTCTATTTTAAAGTTCAAGGTCGCCAATTTTGTGTTGAGAATAGTAGACAACTAGAGTGATAATGGAAAAAAAAATTAGCCCTTGAAATCCTTTAGTGTCTGAGTTACACAAATTTTAGTAACACAGTCGCTCACTCTATGGAAAATGAAAAAAATTCACTGTTGACTATTGAAAGGAGCCGCATCAGCACAAATCCTGTTAGGCTTTTTCTTAGAATGATATCCCCTATATGTGGCCAAAATACTTACCACAACGGCGTGAATCAGTTGGGGACCTTCCCTCGTCAGTACCACGTATCTTGTTCACATTCTATAGATCTAATACGTCGATATCGAAGAGCTAACTTAATGTTTAGCAATATTTCATAATTAGACGGGCATCCGTTATATGACATTAACTACGAATCACAGAATTGTATAACGTTTTGTTTTACACCAAAATGTTTGGACTACAATTCTACGTAAAAGAAAGTAATTCTGAAATAGGGCAAAGATATGAACATTTCATCGCTTCATAAGTGCCCGTGGATTTTGACTTAAAATAGTTTGTAACAGTTTTTCAAAATGCATAAATATTTTTCTGTTTTATTCTTTAGTTCTTTTGCTTGCACAAATGACATCTTGTAGATCTCTATAATTCATTTTAACAAAGTTAGAAACTTTATTGTGAATATTTCACAAATAACTGGTCAAAAATTGTTGCATGCCTACTCATAACTTTGACAAGGAAATAATACTCAATATTTTAATTAACTAGAAAAATCTTCACTTGTGTTTGAGAATGAAAATAATCAGCCAGTGGCCTGAGAATTATTGAATTACCATAATGATTTATCAATGTTGACATGTTGAATTTCTATCTTTTTCTCTCACTGTGAAAAAATTGTATAATTTGTATATTGTATCAAATTATTTTCACCACATAATCTTTAAGATAGACGACCAAATGTCAAAAAAAAAGGATAATTTCGGTTTCAGAATTGAGCTCAGCGAAAACTTCGTGTTCAAAATATCCTTGATCGTCAATTCTGCTATATCTCATATGTGATGAACCAATAGAAATATATAACTTATCTTTTAGATGGATGTGTGTATATTGAAATGATGAAAGTAATTGAAATCGAAATAACATTTCATACTTCTAGATGTATACCATTTAGGAAAAGTTAGCTGTTCAATGTTATTGTTGTTGAGGATTTCTATGTCTGGTTTTAAAGCATTTATAATCGTTTAGAGTGATATATGTGAGGCAGAAATATAAAAATGAAACATATGCGAATTATTATGTATATGAGATTTTATTTCTGGTTGATAAATAACTTTTATCGTATAAACTGGTTGAAACTTTAGTTTGGCTGTTAATAGAACAATCGATGTATGTAAGAAAATTCCAGTATGTGGTTTAATTAGGACGAAAATCGATTTTTATGGAGAAACTTTACACAAATTTAGAAATATGTTGTATATAAACTATTTCAAGCGTTGCTATTTATATGCCTCATGTCCATTGATATTTAATTAACCGGATTTTTAGCTGGTTGCTGACAGTTAAATCATCTTTAGAGCAGGGAAGTTCAAAATGGATCAGATGATCATTCAAGTATTTCTTTATATTCATACGTATAAAACTTGTTTCTTTTAAAAAGTAATGCTCTTATTTTCTATATATAGTTGATTTATAATCAAAACTGTTTGTTTCACAATCTGATTAAAAGATCAATGAGCAAGTGTATGTCGAAAACCAAATGTATCATTAGTATGCATGTGTTGAAGAAATTAAAAACTAATTATTTCATTAAGAAATTCATTGATATATGTGAAGACAAACTATATACCTTATTAATTGTAAATACGTATGATTCACAATTAAAAAGTTCGTTGATCGAAGCAGTAACTTGCATCGTTGAGAATTAGATGATTTCGTTGCATTCTCTACATACGCATAATCTTAAAAATTGTATACTTAGTCGTTCATTGAATGAACTATGATGTGGGAATAGTGGAATTAAAGATCGAAACTCAGATGTTTTTACCGTTAGATTATTGATAAATTTTAAGCATCTAACATAACGGTAGCAAGTATCACTTCATTTATAAAATGATATAGGTCTAAGTCAATTGAAGTTAAATACTCAGTAGAAAAATTATTAGGAGACGTTTTTTGCTTAAATTTTATGGTTCTTTTTCTGTTGTCCTTACAGAAATAATTCTCTCACGTTGATATCACTGTATCAAATTTTTAGTATTTCTCTGATTGTAATCAGTCGATTTTTTTGTGAATTTTTTTGAATTATCTCAGTTGATCTAGTTTTCTTTCTTAAGTCACGATCTATCTTTAATAATGCCTTTTCTTTTTGTTTAATTTAAACAGATTTTATTTGAAATGAGTTCAATTGGATCATTTTTTCATCAGTCTTTTTGTTTCTCATTTTAGTTATTTGAAGCTATCGAAGACACTCTTGTAGACGATAACAGTAATAATAGTATTGAATGTAATCAATGTTCAAAAATATTAGCAAGTGAGTTTGGTCTCATTCGTCATTTCGATATGCATCATCCAACATTATCTGTACTTTGTTCTCAATGTAATATTGTATTTAAATCTCATCGTTCACTAAAATCACATCTTCATCGACATCATTCCAAACATTTATATCATCATCATTCGAGATATCGTGATCTTCCTGAACAATCATCATTATCACGGTACAATACACGAACAGCAGCAAACATTACAACAACTTTCACATCATTGGATTATCTTCCAAATTATTCTTATATTACCTCTTATTTGATTGTGGCATTTTCGTCAAAACAGTTTCCAATTATAGCCAAATTGGCCTGTGAACAAAAACGTTTACCATTAGGTAGGAATATATTTGATAAGAAATTTCTAATGGTATAGTTGATCGTTGAGAAATACCTTATTTTGAGACTAATTATCCAACTGATATATCACAATTACAAAATTCTAGGTGTTTTAACCTCCAAATTATATCAATGTACTCAATGTTCAATGTCTTTTCCATGTTCAAGAACATTGAGATATCATTCTGTGACACATCATGATCATAGTGAAGCTCGTACGTGTAGTAACACATTAGAATATATTATTAGCCAACTAGAAGATGAAGATATACAATCGAGTTATGAAATATTAAATGTGATAATAATAACAATTGAAACGAATGAACGAAAACCAAAACAAGAAATAGCAGGGTAAATTTATTGAAACTCTACTACATTTGCAGTAAATCTGACAAGACAACGTAAGAATTTTAAATATAGCAAGGCCATAAGTGAATATATTGTAAAAAATTTAAAAATAGGCATGTTCAATCAGAGGTCGATTTTGATCGTAAATCATCATCAAGTTATCAAATTTTCTAGCCTAACTCAAACGTAGATGTGAATCTGAGGTTAAGTTGCATAGTTTACGCTACTCGAACCTCAAATTAGCAACTGCTCGAAATTAGAAGGTAACTGTGTCAAAAATAAACGGTTAGTTTCATATCAAAAAAATCATAAAACAAAATATTTACAATATTTTTAACATTCAATAATAATATTCAATAATATTAATAATATTCAACGTCCTAATAAATTTTTTCATTAAAGTATCAGGCTTACAAAGATCCATTTCAAAAATCCTATAATTGAAAGACAACGACGAAGAAATTTCATTATGCTAAATTTATAATTATTATAAATTCTATTATTGTGGCGAAATTTTTGAGAAAAACTGACGTTTTTTCATGATGTGATAACTTTTTCTCTTTCCTAATATAAATCATTGACAAAGATCGCAACGTACCAGTATTTCTTTGAAATCTTTTTTTGCTCTAATAGTCTTACTCAATCGTCCTTTTTACATAAAAAATTTTTCACGTTTTCCAGTCAGACTGACTGCAAATGTGGTAGAGTTTCAACAGAATTATTCAACAAAGCAATTTTAAACCTCATCATAGTCCGCTAACAACAACGGTCAGAACAGTAACGACTTGTTCGTCATCAGAAAACACAACAATTAGTGTTGGAGGTGACGATGATTCTGGATTTGGAAGTGAATATTATTTATCACCCTTATCTGATATTATGGAATGTAATATGAGTGCGAGTACAATTTTTCAAAGTCTTAGACCAATATCGAATATTTCCAACGAACAACAACAGGATCAATTACAGTAAGTTTTATTTGTATGTAATTTTATGTATAGTTGTACTTTTAATTTTTTTCCATTTTAGTCCATCTCAACAGTGCTCAACCGATGATGATTTAAATGATTTTGACTCGTTTTCTTCGTTATTATCTTCGTGTGCTTATCAATTTGGCCTTGTCGATAAAAGACTATCAAAAAAATTGACAAAAATTAAATTACAACAACAACGTCATATTCAACCACAATGTTTACATCCAGAAAAAACGTGTGCAAATCTTTGCTCCTCACATTTATCATCTTATAGTGCGTTAATTGGAAATTATGCATTCGATTCTCAGATAACATCGATACCAAAAGGTAGTCTTGGACAAATTGTACCCAAACTACCAGCTAAACGTCCACCATTACTAACAACCATTGTTCCAACTGTGATTCCATCTTTATTTTCTACAAGTATTATTACCACTACTACTACTACTACTACTACTACTATTACTCCTGCTACTGTTACTCCTGCTACTATTACTCCTGCTATTATTACTCTGCCTAATGAACAAACAACGATAATGAAACGCAGATATCAAAAACAGAATCGTGCTGTCACATCTCCTGTGGCAGACACACAATTGGTACCTGTCACATCTACCCCACAGTTTTCTCAAGAATTAGAACAGAAAAATACCATTGCTGTCAAAGGAGAAAACAGATCAGTTTATCTTAATGAAAGGACGATCAGAAAATCTAGTAAACCTAATAATATACACAAAAAATCCACGAAAGTGAAAGAAAATGAAGTACAACAACAGAAGAAATCAAAATCACTTGTGAAAACACAAAAGAAGCGAGCGTTCGATTTGGTAAGAGAAAGACATTGAAAAACATGGCAAATTGATAACTTTTATTCTGAAAAGCTGATATTTATTGATAGCTAAACACTGTTCTGACAGATTCAGATAAAACTTTGGATCTCAAGCTCAAAACATGACTAATATTAATTGCTTATTTTCGTTTGAAGAATCATTCAGCAGGAACACATTAAGTTCATTTTTCTGACTTTAGATTGATACTTCTGTAACTATATCAAAACGTTTTCAAATTTCACCACCATCTAATAGTCAATCATTATCAAAAACATCATTATTTCCTAAATCAATTTTACCACGAAAATCATCAAAAGAAAAATGTAAGTGTTTACAATTCAACTAATACTCTTTCAGTAAAGTTGAATATTGATTCTATAGTACAATGAGAGTTGAAAATTGAATCCCATTGGTGAAATCGACATTTGTTTTTGTGATACATTGTTGATATTTTAAAGTTTCTATCTCAATTATTTTATCACATTATAGTATTTATATTTAGTTAATTTTACAACCGCTTTTATAGCTACTAGAGACTCAGACAGAATTCATTTCTGAAAGAATCAAAAGAAGATATCACGACCGGTTTGGATCTTTCTCAAGGGTCTCGTCAGGTGGTTTCCTTTGAGAAAGACAGAGTTAAGACACGGCAAGCAATACAACTGCGTCATACCGTATGAGAGTGATACTATTCCTTGTTCGTATCGAACAAGGAACGATAACTTTCACATGACGAGAACGAAGCAGGCTATCACTATACAATGCAAATATTCTGCGTCTCTACATTAAGTATTTCTTTTCATTCTATCAGAAATGACTCATTCTTTTTTATGTCTTTCTCTGTTGTGTCAAAACTACGGTTAGTAAGAAGGTGGGTGACCACTTCCCAAGATCGAACCATAAGTATGGTGCTTTTTTTACATTTCTCTCAACGGTTGAGTGAAAGTTACTAGATACAGTTAAAGTTATCGTTCCTTGTTCGATAAGAACAAGGAATAGTAACACCCTCATACGGTGTGACGCAGTTGTGTTGCTGTCCTGCCTTAACTCTGTCTTTCTCGTAGGAAACCACCTGTCGAGACCCTTGAGAAAGGTCGAAACCGGTCGTGGTATCTTCTTTTGATTCTTCCAGAAATGAGTTCTGTCTGAGTCTCCAGTAACTACAAAGTGGTTGTAAAATTAACTAAATATAATTATTCAAGTCGAGTTTCACATTTATATACGTTATAGTATGCTCATCACCAGTGACACGTTGTTCAAGGATTACATGTTCTTCGTCCAGAAGTATTTCCAGACTAGTAGCCACACCAATTCATCAATCTCATCGTAAAAAACGTATTTTATCCCCTCTTATCAAAACACCCATCTCATCAATTGTCAAACATCAAACATCGACACATGTCAAAGTTGAAGAAAAGCAGAAAAAACGTCGTAAAAAAGAATCTGTCCAAGTGAGTGATGAACAAGAAAATGAAGATGACGATAACGAACCATTATCGACGTATCAACGAAAACAACGTCATGCTTCAAATGGTTCAAATCATTCTGTTGAATACGTACAAACAATTGAATTGAACAATATTGAAAATACCAAAGATGTTAAAAATACGAACGAATGTACAATTATCGACTTAGAAAATAATGAACATGTAGAATATTCAACATCGCCGAAAACAGTGAACAAAGGAGATGATGAAATAGTGATTTGTAATTCACCATCACCAAAGAAAAAATATTCAAGTACATCATCAACATTCATCAAGAAAAATGGTTTGACAAATAATCAAAACAACAGTAAAGTGAATAAACAGGTAAGCCTTATATAGGACAAATGTAATAAAAATATAAACTAATTGTACTTGATTCTGTAGAGTTTGATCAGATCATTCATTTATTTATTTGTATTTATTTTTATATTAAGACTATACACAATGATGAAGATGATATTTTATTTCGTTGCAAAGTTTGTGCAGATATATTATATGGACGAAAAAATTTTGCCAATCATGTTTTTAACACTCATCCAACATTATTAAAACAAAATTTAGCTAAAAAACAAGTGACAACAACTAGATAATATAATGTGAAAATTTTTATATATAAATCCACGTTTATACCCTAATCAATTTAGTGGTGAAGGTTTATTGTTTTGTACATAATAAACTGTTTTTTATTCGTGAACGTAGAAGAAACAAATGAGAGTATGTGTGCTTTTTTTCCATTCTTATTATTTAGAATAGAAAAACAAATGACCTATGTCTGAAAAATCTGTCCTTTTGTATGTGTGTGTGTGTGTGTGTGTTTGTATTAACAATTTCTTTGTTTTTCTTTGCTTTTTGTTATTGTGCTTATCTATTCTACAAAGAAGTATGTACATTGAACCGTTTTTGCCGTTCAATCATGTTCCTATTTGTAGTAAATCTTCGTTTTCAATATTGCTAAAATAAAGACAGATCACACCTTATCCTTTCTCGTAAAAAGTTGAGACAATTAACTTTTACACGAACACAATTTAAGAAATAGACGTATGATATTTATTTTTTTCTTGGTGGAGAGACATTACTCGAATATATTGTAGTGGCATTCGTCTAGTCTTCTTTCTCTTACTTTAAAATTTTCAACATTGTCAAAAATTGACTATAGTTTGGGCGTTGAATCTTTTTTGTTTTTTTATTTAAAAGAAGTTGTAGCACATTTTCTTCCCTATTTGCGTAAACACGTCTAAAATTTTGTCAAACATCTTCTATCTATTCTATTAAAATGAACCTGAAAATGTAACAGTTAAAGTATCCCCGTTTTCTTTTTCAAGTATTTTGTTAAATTAACAAAAAGTTATCTAATATGGGTTATTTGTAATTGTTATATGCTTCTTCATTCTTCTGTCTTTTATTATCACATACTGTGAATATATGCAAATGATTTTTTTTTGCTGTTGTTGTTGATGTTAATTCTCCCGTTTTTGTGTGTTATATTTCGCTTCTCTCTTGGTTTTTATTCGATTCTGTATATGTATAATACAAGCAAAAAATATGACAACTACACACAAACGAAGTTTCAGCTTATTATACCGGTTAAATGGATTAAAAAAAAGAGTGTTTCTCAACAAAGAAATGTTTCTCAAAATGAGCCTCTTTCTGCGTACAATGTATATTGATACTTTTATAGGTGTTTTGAATTGGATATTTAGAAAAAGAATTATGTGGTATCAAAAATGATTTAAGATATATTAGACAAAAAAGTTTTTTATTTATAATTTTAAATATCTTATTCTTCCCTCATATCCTATTGTGAAAGTATATTAACTTAATTTGGATTTTCTCTAGCCAAAATTTGAAAATATTAATACTTTTGTGTTATTACAGAGCATATAAAAGACTTAATGATCGATAGACACTAATTCCTATGAACGATATATTAGTTGTTCGTAACTAATAGAAATATTTGTACTTCTATAGTAGTTTGATACTATAATATCATATGAAATCTGATAATATACGTTGTCATTACCTTACCGATATCATTCTACTTTTTTTATTTATTTACGGTTATCAATGATTATTTTCATCTTTCTCTCTTTCTATTTATCATCTATCCAGTTTAAAGATTCTATTTCTTTGGTTTTGTATATGAATGTGTGTATCTCACCTGTGCTTTGAACGTATTGACAATTTTTAACCTGAAAATAATATCAGATTTGGTTTCTATGCATTTTTTGTTATAGATCAATAATACGTTATGAGCGAACGGGATTATCTACCGTTAACATCAACATTAGTCAAAACATTGACAGATAAATTGTATGAAAAACGAAAAACAGCCGCACTTGAGATTGAAAAGTAAGTTAATCATATTGTGTAAAAAATATCACACTGATAAAGAAAGATCTTCTATACAATAGTTTCTCTTCCATGTAAAACAGAGATTATTGCTTAAAACATCTTTTTATGTTTGAAAACATGTCATAACCCTTCAGGATCAATCGATGTTTTCTCTTTAAATTCATTTGGACATGTTTGACTTATATATGGCAGGAGAAATGTGAACATAGAAACGACATTTTTAAATATCGATTGTATTTCTTTTTTTCCTCATAGAATGGTACGTGAGTTGATGGTCATTCAGAATTATGAACAAATTGAACGTATATGTAGAATATTAAGTGAACATTTTGTTTTATCACAAAATGGAAATTTCCGACGAGGTGGTTTAATTGGCATAGCTGCATTGGCAATTGCCACTGGAAAAGTAGAACATTTTGTCTCTTCTGTATGTTAGAAATTCATATTTTTTGTTTCATTTAAGGAAGCACAACGGTTTCGTCAATATTTAGTACCACCTGTTCTTCAATGTTTTCTTGACAACGATCCAAAAGTTCGCTATTATGCGTGTGAATCTTTGTACAATATTGCCAAAGTTTTAAGAACAGTAACATTAGCATATTTTAATGAAATATTTGATTGTTTATCTAAGGTAGGTCTATGTAATTGTCATGGTTCCTCTTAATATTTACTTTTTAAACAATTATTATTTCTAAATCTAACCTAGACAGAAATCTAGATAGAAATAATGTTGTGTTTGTTTCAGTTAGTTGCTGATATGGAACCCACAGTTAAATCGGGTGCTGAATTACTTGATCGTTTATTAAAAGATATTGTCACTGAAACATGTACACAGTTTGAATTAGTTGCATTTATACCATTATTACGCGATAGAATTTATGTTCGAAACGCATTTACAAGACAATTTCTTATCTCTTGGGTATGAGTTTCTTCAATTGTTATACTCGGATTATAAAACTATTTTTTATTCTAGATATCTTTATTAACATCTGTACCAGAATTAGATATGATTCAATATTTACCCGAAATACTCGATGGTTTGTTTCATATTCTTGGTGATCCAAATCCTGAAATTCGTAAAGCGTAAGATAGTTCTTCTTATCAAAGAACATTTTTAAATTAATATTTTTGTTTGCAGATGTGAAATACTATTTAGTGAGTTTTTATTAATTTTGAAAGCAAGTACAATACAACCGTCAATGTTTGAAGATATGACAAGAATTCTTATACAAAACTGTCAATCAGCAGGTATATATTGCGTTTTTGTGAAACTCCGTCCAATTCTTCGTAGAAGACTGAGTTTTAGTTATATACTCAAAAACCGGTGTTATCATGAATTTTTTTGAACCTATTTAAAATCTGATATCACTTTCCGTCACAACCTCTTACGTACCTGTGTGATATCGAGTGATATCTATTGATATCAGGGGAATGTTTTTTAGACGGTCACAACCTCTTAAAAGGAGAGCTACAGCCTCTTAATTGATCGGTTACAACCTTTTAATCGTCGGTCACAACCTCTTAATCGATTTCTAGCAAATAGTTTCTAAGCAAATTTCTCGCTGATTTTTATTGACCTATCTTGTTCAATATAGGAAGTTTCACCTTTTGGTACCAAACGTACCATCCTGATAAGGTTTTTATTAACAAGATTAGTAAAAAAATAAGTATATTTTATACATGATAAAAGTTTGTTTTTCTATTAACAATATACTTTTGGCGAGATTTCGTGCCTATTTTCAGGATTATCTATGCGATTTTTTTCCGGTCTAGTCCCAGCGGGTTGGTATTATATCGTAAAAAAACAACAACATTTAATAATATATTTGCTGTTAAATTATTTTTCTTTTGTTATTTTTTTATTAGTTTATTACTATATTAGAAGGAGCGTATGGGTATAACTTTCTTGCATTTCGATTTATTCTTTAAATAATTTTTCTTCATCTTCAATGCAACAACATTATGATATTCTCTATCTTAAATCATATTAACATCTTATTTTATAGCCGTTGCTCCTAAAGGTATGTAATGTGGTCAATCTTTTTATGATAATTTTTGTATCTATCATAAATTCTTCATAGTTCCTGTTATATTTTTATGATAATTTTGTTTATAATACGATATATCAACAAAAATAGTGTAGTTCATACACAAATGACAGATTAAAAATGATTTTCATTCCATAATCAGAAGCTGTTTCCTCCTTAGTAAAATAGAGCGTAGATTAAAGCACATTACTTTTATAATAATATATCAATCAGCTGACAAAAATGTTCAGAAACAGCAATATTACACGTCATTAATTATCGAACATTTTCTATATTAAATATAAGTATTTTTAATTCAATATTTTTATTATAATTGCTTGCATTTATTAATGATTTGCTTGTTGATCAGAAGAGTTTGTATCTTATGATGCTAAGGGAAAACTATAGTTCTTTGTTTGCCGCTCATTAAATAGCACATTGTCTCTGTGATACATATGCTCTTTGGATAGCTTTTATTAGAATCAGTAAGCATACCATTTTATTCTCATTTCAAAAATATTTTCTTACAGAAAATGAATGTGTTTAAATTTCTTTTAGACGCTTTAATTCAATATACATCGTTACATTGGTTACGAGAATTTTTAAATATGAATTATCATGAAGTATTATTACCTCATTCAGCTGGTTTATTAGCAGCAGTTTTATCATGTGTATCATATGAAGATGATAATAGACAAAATATCCTTTTTTCTTTCAAATATACAAACATCTTTTTTAGTCTTTTATTTAACCTTAACAATGGAAAAATATCCGAGAGACAGCAAAAGAAATAAATCATATATTACGACAATTAATTAAAAGCGAAAGTAGTAAAAATGAACAAGGAGAATATTGTTTAAAGTAAATATGTTAACAATTTATTTTAATATACAAACTTATTTTGTCTTTGTTTAGTTTACCTGAGCCAACAATATCCAAAATGGTTGAGGTTTTAAAAACTCAAATTCAATTAGGTGCATCACAATCACGAATTATAGCACTCCAATGGATTCATCATCTATTCGAATGTTTACATGACAAAGTAAATTGATAAAACATATCTTATATTATTGAATTAACTGTTAAGATACATGTGTTATTTTATTTTCTAGATGAATCCTCATATTGATATATTATTTCCCGTTTTATTTCGTGTATTGAGTGACTCGACAGATGAAGTAAATAAATTGTATAATATTTGTTTTTCTCAACTAATTGAGCTATTAAGTTCTGTAGAATTCTTTGTTTATTCGTTGATATAAGCAAAATTAACTGTATTTTATCTTACAGGTGAATAGTTTCCATATTAAGGTAAAGCCATTGCACGATCTGTCTATAACCGTTATATATGTTTAATTCATGCGCGAGTGGTACTAAAATTCTGGGACTATGTGTCTTTATTACCAATCGAAGTTATATATTTTTTTTTTCAATTTAATAAAAAGAGAGATTATTTTTTTGCTTTTTGGACAGTCATCAACATCTGCAACATTATTGAAAAAAACAAAATATCAAATAACTGAAGTAAGGCATATAGAAGGATAATAATTGTGGTTTACATATGAATTTATTAATGATATATCAACTCTTTTTTCTATGATTGTTTTGCTGCTGTTATTCTTCGCTTGAATATAAACAGACGGTAAAAGCCAATGGGTTGTGGTATGAATACCTCGGCCAGAAATGATGATATATATGTCTTTGGTCGAAAACTCAAAACACCAAAATTGAACATATAGAATACATAAGATCGAGAATAAGAATGGCGAAAATCTGAATTGTAGAAAACAAAAATGACGAAAGTAGAATATATTGAAAACGTGAAATATCGAATGGCAAAAACAACAGAAGTGTGAGTTTTGGAAGTAGACTCGTATCTTCAAAATTGCTCATAATTCTCTTGATAGATCTGCAAATCTTTTTTTGTACACGCTCAATTTTTTTCTATGTGAAATATTTTGCTGCTCTGTTTGATGCGCTAATATTAACAAGTATAGATCATAGTCCACGCAACTCGATAGATTTGTCTATTAACTACAATGAATTCTTAGCACTTCGTGTTTCATGTTCTTATATGCATTCACACTCATCTTCCAGTTCCTGTTCTGATTTTTCATCTTATACATTCTGCATTTTCATTTTCAATGTTTTGAGTTTTCAAGATTCGGCCATACATTCGAAATGATTAAAGCTTTTAATAAATATAAATTCACATTTCATATCCTGTTAATTCATTTTCGTTGTCTTTTAGGCTGTTCTTTTAGTTTTGCAAATATTTGCTATAATATCAATATCAAATGCTCCTGTAGTAGTAACAACACTTGACACAATAACGTCATCTGCTCCAGAATTATTACCAAATACCAACAGTATTCAAAAATACAATGATTACTTTACAAAATTTATCATTGTTCTCATGGATTTATTTCGCACTGATAGAGCATTATTAGAAACACGAGGATCATTCATAATTCGGTAGGTTATGTATGTATTATTTATTTACATATGTATATCTCACTTTGTTTGTCCTATATACATTTAGACAATTGTGTATGTTATTATGTGCCGAGGATATCTATCGTACATTGTCTGAAACACTATCAAATGAACCAGATGTACAATTTGCTTCAACCATGGTAAAAATTTTAAGTTCAATACTTTTAACATCAACCGAATTACATGAACTTAGAGTCAAATTGAAAAATCTTCAAACAAATGTAGGTTGTAATCAATATTTATTTTCGTTAATAATATTGAATTATCTTATGATATTATAGGATAGTGCAACATTATTCGTATGTTTATACAAAACATGGTGTCATAATCCTGTAGCAACTGTTGCTTTGTGTTTATTATCTCAAAATTATGATCATGCATGCACATTAGTACAACTATTGTAAGATAAACTAAAAAATAGGCATGTTTTCTATTGATACTGATTTTAATTTTCTCTTTGATTTTAGTTCAAATATGGAAGTTACAGTAGATTTTCTAATTGAAATTGATAAATTAGTTCAATTAATTGAATCACCAATATTTACATGTATGTACCACAATATATTATGTCTCCTCATACTATTTCTCTGTTCTTTAGATCTTCGCTTAGCCTTACTTGATGTTGAAAATCATCAAACATTAATACGTGCTCTATGTGGTCTACTGATGTTGTTACCTCAAACAGATGCCTTCCATACATTGAGAAGAAGATTAGAATGTGTACCAACATTTATCGATAGGTTAACTACATCACAAAGAAAAATGAACAGGTTTTACACATCGAAGACGCCTATCTTTTCTGAATCAAGAGTTTGTGCTATTTCTTTTCTAGTTTACCGCTGAATTCGATGATCGATTCCTTACCATCTAGTGAATCAACGACTCTCAATGCCCTAGCATTAACTAAAACTAACTCGTCTTCTCGTAATCAGATAAATTTTCAAGAATTAAATGATTATTACGTATCCGTGCAAAGTAAACATGTTGAATCAAAACGGCAACGTTATCTATATCGTACAGAAAGTTGATATTCTTTTCTTTTTGTGCTATTCATTTTCTCTGTACTCGTATATTACTAAAGAACCAACTAATAATATATAAATAGATATATTGATATATTAACCTGTAGAGAAGGCAAAAGAGATATTGCATTTTGTTTTTTCGTTGTTGTTATTTTTTGTATAAATGTTATTTTCCCACACGATATTTTTAATTCAATTTTTTTCGATTATTTTTGTGATTATGTATGATCAAATATTCAAAAAGAAAAATTCTCATGATATGTGTTACATTGCAGAATATTTGTTAGCAATTTGATAAATAAACAAGATGTTACTAATTGAAAGTAGTAACAAACTTGCAACACAACACTTAAGCAATTATTGGCGGTTTTAGCATCGAAAGTTTTACAGGTTAAGCTTAAGGAACTTTTTAATATTGATTCAATGCAAGAATGCATTGCTGAAATGAAATTTTAAATTTCTTCAGATTTTATTTTATTAAAATTAATCTAATTATTTTGTTGTATTTTTAAGAAAGAAATTTTGCTGTCTTTAACAATTGTCAGATGAACAACATATTTATATTTTTCTCATCTTATAAATACAGTGTAAGCGTTAGTATTGAGCAATGTAGTTATTTATGAATGCGATATGACAACCTAGCAGTATTTCAATACATCGACTTGCCGTTCACTAAACAGTTCGTAGTGGTTATCAGTCATATCTCTAGTCCAAGAAAAGTCAAGATACATGTGTTGTTTTAGTTCCTGGATGAATCCTATCAATATATTATTTACCGCTTTATTTCGTGTATTGAGTGATAGGCGTTGGACACTGCCACTTCACGAGTTTTTCAGAACTGGTGAGAAAAGCTGAAGACCAGATCCAGTTCTCGTGCACTGGAACTGACAGATAGTACACAAAACCAAAGCTGTTGCCATATCAGCTTAAAACAAAAAGCCTCATTACTGTGACATTTGTACCAATTCTGGTTTTAATCATTACAATCTCTGCAGTTATGATTTTCGTCTTAATTATTCGACTGCAGCACTTCAAGTAGATTTCAACTACAAGAAGATTAATAGTCACAACACAAGAAAATCCGAAAGTAACACAGAAAACCATCGTTTTCCATCGATGAACGACACTAACGTTACATCCCTCAATGCTGCCTTTTGAATTTTATTTTCCAACCAAAAAATTCCCAATAAACTGTACATTAAAATGAAAAGTAAAATATATCACATATATTTATATCAGTGGTAAGAAAAATAAAGGAAATATCATTAGGATACAGAAATTGTGCATATAAATGTA